AGATTTATGAAGCTCTGAAGCACTGGAGTCTTTAGCAAAACTGTGATATGTCACTGGTAGCTGTTTTCTTTCTTCTGCTTTTCTTGCACAAGATGCTTTGAGCCTCTAACCAGATCTGATCTTTCCTGTGACTTCACTTCTACTTACAATTATTTGGATGCTGCTGCTCTCAGCACACTGCTAGGTTAGTCCTCCTCCCCAGGCACAGGTGTGGTGTCATTTAAAAAATGTTGCAATGGGAGAAAATGTCTTTCTAAAGAAAGCCAGGCACACAGTGTAAGCTCTCTAGCTTTCCATTACTGGAAGTTGAACATTAAAGTTTTCTGTACCTCAACCAATATTTGCTTTGATTTCCTGTGTAATACCTTGACCTGAAAGAGAAAAATCCTCATAGAATGATAGAATAGCCTGAGTTGGAAGGGACAATTCTCTTGCTGGTTTTCCTTTTATTTTGTATTTAGGTAGCCACAAGAAACTACTGCACTCATGTTTTAATATAAGAGCATGTTAAGTTAAGCATGCCCTTAATTTTGGTGAGAGAAATTTTGTTTCAACTTCGTTTAGAGAACTCAACATTGATTAGTAAAGAAACCTGTTTCCCTCTCCAGCTAATCAGAGAAATTAGAATATTTTCCTGGTATTTCCTGTGAAGCTCATCTGTAAGAGGAAATATCAGGGTTGGCCTCAGGTTCTCTCAATGCTTACTATGAAGACAACCCCCTTCTCTTTCTTTCTTTGATTCCAGTGTGAGTGAATACTAGTAAGCAAAGCAAGGATAGCCTCAAACAAACCTAGACAAAGAAGGATGCCCAGGAAATGCCAGTAAGGCAGCCACAGCTTTAAAGTAAGGGACTGAGAAATGCTAACAGCCTTTGAATGGTGTTGGAAGGGTGGTGCTCGAGCTCTCTGTAGTCTTCCAGCTGTCCTTACCAATCTCTTGACACTGTCAGCTTCAGTGCCACACAAACTTTTCAGAACCCTAAAAAACACACATTTACATTCCTTTGCTATATTTAATCTGAAGTATGGTCTGTTTTAAAGTCCTACTGAGGTGGCCAAATCCAAACCTTCTGCAAATGCTACAACATCAAGAGGATTTACGCACACAATGGAGGAGGACTGAGACTGTGAGCTGCTGTGTGAACTTGGAAGGGGGTTGTGTTGGTTCCAAGATTGCATCTGTCACAGTCAGGGTGCAGCTGACTGTGGGGCTGGGGCTAGCTGTTTCCAATGTAGAAAAAGCTTGTCACACTTCATGTCCCACTACAGCTCTGTGCTCACCTTGTTTTTTCATTCAGGCTCGTTTTTAGCCCATGGCTTTTCCCATTGACCACCACTAATTCAGCCACCACCTCCTCTTCAGAGGGCAGGCTGAGCAGCCTTTTGATTGCCTGGTTTGATGCAACATGCCAGTGAGTGCCACTGCCTGAAAGAAGGACATTAGCAGTGTTGGCTGAGGTGTGTTGGAGCTGCTTAAACAGGGTGGGGTGGTGTCTGGTACCTGATAGAATCAGAGGTAGAACAAAAACCTGGGGTCCTTGTTTCTCACATCTCTGCCCAGTTAGCAGAGTGCATTTTCTTCTGCTTTCTCGAGCAGCTATGAGCTTTCTCTCTTGCACCACCTGACCACCAGATCAATGTGAATGCCACAGCTTTAGCACTTTCATCCACTTCATAAGCACAGGACAGCTGCTGTAATGCTTGCAACACTCATGATGTCACTGCTGGGTTTAAGCCAGTGGTCTATTTTATGATTAGAGGTTTTTCTTCACTGGAACAACTTCAAGATTTTTTCATCACTAACTTCTGTTTATCCCTTGCACCACTGAAGTGTAGAACACGGAAAGAAAAGGAGTGAGGGGGAGAAATAAACTGGTCTGTGGCAGAGACTGGCAACAGTGCCTGTCTTAAAAGTTCTCTGCAAAACTCATCTCACAAAAACTCAGAACCTTGCTGAGAATTTTCTTCTTATATGGAAAAACATGAAATGAGCATTTCTAAGTGAGAGGGCTGGGGGTTTCCTGCTCTTCTGCAGCAAATACAGACAGATCATGCTTTCCCCCCACTGGCCTTTTCTGTGGAGCCATTTGCATCCCGAGGGACAGAACAGAGCAGCTCACAATAAACATTACTCTGTCTGCATTAGTTTTTACATTTCTTTGTTTTATTTCTTGTTTTTGTTTGAAATGACCTGTACCACAGGAATACAATTTATTTAACAGGTTGTTATTTTTTTAGGAGCAGATAATAGTTAAGTAGATACTGTTTATTTCACTGACTGTCTATGACTCTCTGCATAATTCTCACAGCCTCTATCTCTCTCTGGCTTCTCCACGAAACCCAGCCACAAGAACAACAGAGCAGCCTTTGGCCATACGATTGATTATAGCTTGTGGATACAAAGTGGAAGCTCTGTTTTCTTAGCCCCAATTGGTTATAAAAGCTCAACATGTTACATTCTAGGGTCTTTCTCAATTGCTTGCCCCTCTAATAGCTGCTTACATGTTTCTGGTGAAGCATGTTTTATTTTATATATTTATAATAGATTAAAAAAAAAAAAAAGATGGCATAGCTTACAAAGAGAAAAATAATGCCCCCTTAGCATGAGCAATACTGCAAGGTTCTGATTGTTGTGGGGACATTTCTTGTAGCTTCACAGTTTTGCTGCGAGGTGTAATGCCCAAGTTTCCCCAGAAACTTAAAATCAGAGTGATAATTTACCTTTTAATTGATCCCCATGAAATTTGTTTTGCATTACAGGTCAGACACTGCTGTTCCCAGAGAAGAATGTGCCTAAAACAGAAGAGCTGGTAACTTGGGAAGAACTGCCTTTTGTAGTAGCTGACAGGTGCATGGTTTCTGTTATCCATACATGCAAATCAGGGGCTGGAGCTGCTTTTACCATAGTTGCTGGTGTGGGTTTATTCACTATCACTTATACAATGTCCTCTACTGCTTCTCTTTTCTTTAAGTCATGGAGCCCATCTGTGTCCCAAGGCTCAAGCTCCATCATCTTTTGCCCCATGAAGAAGGACAGCTGTATGATGCTAACTCTGTGAATCCTATATTACAAATGAGCAGCATAAAGAGTATAAAACTCATCTCCTAGTTCATGTCTCACCTTCCACATCCCCAGACCTTTTTGTAAGAGACTGTGAGCATTCAAAGACCTAAGCAGTTGCTGAAGCTTCATTTCCTACTTCAAAGTGCATAGGTGGGACTACACTGTTACAGTCCTCTGTAATCCCAGCCCATTGTGTAGCTGGAAATGCTCCTCAGCTGTCTCAGTGTGGTAGTACTAGTGATGCACGGCAGATCAGAGTAACTGGGAAGAGATGATTGTGATTCTTGCACTTGTTTGAAGGGCTTGAGAGACCTGACCTGTTTCCCAGTTTAGGATGGTACAAACCTTTTGAGGGTTAAATCTAGACAAGTGTTTGTGTCCCAGTTCCTGGGGAAGAGTTTGCATTCCTTGGTTAGAGAGTTTAATATATCCTAAGTACTGTCTGCTTCACTTCCTATTTCAGAAGAAATGCAAACATTTTCTTGCATATTATAGTCAAGCAATGGGGAATATTTGGATGGCCTCCAGCATTATGCAGCTTTAATGGAGAAAGAAATTCCTGGAAAAAAATGTATTTGGTATCTTCATAATGCTGTGCCAAGGCAAGAGTTGCCTCCATCATGTAGCCCTAATCTAAATATCCAGCAGTCTCTGTGAGTTGGAAGCTAATTTGGCAGCTCTCCATGTTTTGTAGATAGTTTCCTGTTATGGAGAGCAGGCCTGAGTTCAAATACAACAAAGCTAAAAGAGCCTTTTGGGGTTGTTTTTGGGTAGTTTTGGGGTTTTTTGGTGGGGGGAGGTTGGGCAAGTGTGTTGGTGTGTAAGTGACCTTTCTGGCAGGGCCCAACAGAGTAAGAATTGCTTCTTAGGATCTCAGCCCATTTTGGGACAGCTACCTTTGCACAGCAGGCTGGGACACCATGTGCTGCAGCTCAGCTGGGTGGGATTTGGCAGCATTGCAGCAGTGCTCGAGTGAGTCAAATTTACAGGTGATAATGCAACCCAGCACATCTGTGAAAGCAATTATACCACAGCCAGAAAGTCTCTCGAGTGCAGCACATGGCAAGCTGGCTCTGTAATGGTGGCATGCATTTCACTTTGGTCCCTCAATCACAGATGGGTACAGGGATCATGAGTGCAACCAAAAGCCTCTCATTTTCTCCCCAGCTGCCTCTGGGAGGGAGTCGGGGAGAGGAGCACAAGTATCCACTCAAGCACAAGGCTACTGTGTAATTGCTGCTGCTGGGAGCACAGAAGGAGTCCCAGTCCCAATGTGCCTTCTGCCCCTTAGGTCTCTGGTGGTTTACTAATATGCCTGAAGCAAGACAATTCCTTTACCAAGTGAGTACAAAATGAGTGACTGTGTAGCATAGGAAGAACTCAAAGGAGATGGAATGGAACTAACTTAGGTACAAGGTGTGGGCTGGCTATGAGAGCTGAGAGGTCACCATGCCAGCACCCCTGTGTCTGAACCCATGCCAGGGCAGGGTTCTGCAGTACTGACAGCCCTGCTGGGACACATTCTGCTCCAGCAGAAAACAAGCACCCAGTGTCTCTGATCACACACCTCAACCCTAGTTTGGAAGACTTCCTCCTGAGGGTAATTTACTCCTCTGACACACCACCTTTCTCCTGGGGAAGCCAGGAAGGGGTGGAAGCGTGAGGATAACAGACTCAAGAGAGTTAGCGGTGTCTCATATGTAGATCAGAGGTTTTTTCTCACCACTAGTGCCATGCTGCTGACCACAAAAAAAAAAAAAAAAAAAAAAAAAAAAAAAAAAAAAAAAAAAAAAAAAAAAAAAAAAAAAAAAAAAAAAAAAAAAAGAGGATACACACGTTTTGTCAGCTCAGGATGGCTTAAAACTAAGTGACCTAGAAAATAAAGTTTCAGAAAACACCAACAGTCAGTTATGTCAGTTGCCTACATCCCCCTCTGGCTACTGGGAATGCAGCAATTATGGCTTAGGCAGCAGATCTAAACAAGCTCTTGGAGACAGCAGGAACCTGGTTACATAAGAGTAAATAAACACTCTCCCTGTTCTTCTCCCACCACCTTAAGGTCAGGTATTTGCTTTCTGATCAGCAAGAGAACCTCTTATCAGCCTCAGGTAAAATCTATGCTAGCTCTTTTCCTGCTGTTGAAGATAACGGGATGAGGCAGGGGAAGACAGTAGTTGGAGTATTAGGGGTTGCCATCCTCTAATTTATTTCCCTAGGCTGCCACAAGAAAGCAATCTCTCAGGCTCTAGAGATACCTCCTCTGAAAAGCAGTGCCCTTGATTCCTAACTAGAATTTGGCAATAAGCCTAAAGTCTCTGTGGAGCCAAAGAGCTCTAATGAAGTCTAGGAAAGATCTGGTTGGGGGTGTATTTATACTTGGGCAGTAACCATGCAGACAAAGCCTTGTGTTCTCTGCCACAAGGAACAGGTGGGGAATGGCACTCAGCTGAGCTGAAGAGGCAGGTGTGATAAACTATGGGGTGAAAAGTGTGGAAGAACTGTAGTTAGCACCACATAGGAGAGGATGCAGAGGTTATCAAGTCAACCCAGCACTGAAGCATAACATCAGACTCTTTTTTCTTGCCATTTGGGAAAGACTTGCATTTTCTCAGGGACAAACATCCTACCTCTTCAGGAGCCTGCAGGGATTGTACATGGGAGGGACTAGCCAGGCGTAATGACACACTGTACAAGGTCGCAGAATATTTTACACAGTTAGGAGCATCTTTCCCAGTTAGAAGTGGGGCTTGTATGTACAAGTGTTAGAGGAGTCTGGGAGGCAGCCTTTTTGTTCAGGAGAGGTCCAGCAGCATTGTTCTCCAGAGAAGCATCTACTCTATGGTAAGAGGCAAAGGTGACAAAAAGAAGGACCGTGGCTGCTTCCCTTTCTAACTGACCCCTCATAACACCAGCAGATAAAGTTTATATTGGCTCTATTCTTCCTCTCTTCCTGCTTCTGTCCCCACTCACCCTCCAGAACTGGCAGAGGGAGCTGGGGAGCTGACAGCTGGACAGCGCTGAGAGCATCACTGATCAGAGGGGCTGAACCCCCATGATGCCTCAACAAGTGCAAGAGCATAATCTGGTATTTCCCACAGAGAAAACAACGAAAAAAAGAGAAACAGGTGACTGATTAGAAGTTTCCCCCCTCCTGTACACAAGATTCTGCAGTCACGCCGACAGATAGACATTAAATAATTCTTCCATAATAAATGCTTGGAGATAAAAGCCGGCGGTGGCTGCTGCTGCTGTTTGGATTGCTCCGTTGTCTGCATCTTTGTTTCTAGTTTGTTCCCCGGCCACTGTTGGCTGATGCTGGGGCTGTCAGACCTTTGCCTCTAGCATTTCTAGGAAGAGTTTATGCATGGGAACCTTGCCCTGCAGTTTGATGCTGTAGAAGTGCTGCACAGCTTTAGCAGCCGTCTGCCGCAGGAGGGGCAAGGTCAGGAGCAGCTTGCCTGCTCGCCGGGGCTCCTCATTGCGCTGACTCAGCTCGTAGTCCTGCAGGGCTTCGTGGAGAAGGTCCTGGAGTTTCTGCACTGCATCCATGTCCTCTATGTGCATGGAGTCTGGGGTGAGGGAGAAAAGACAGCAAACAGACAAGTCAGACATGAGAAAGGAAATCCTTTATGGTTCTGAAGCTAATGATGTTTTCTTTCCTTCATATCTGTTATTGTGGGGGCTTTTTGGGTTGTTTTTGTTCCCCCTGGCAGGGGGTGAGGGTTGTTGTTTGATTTGTTTCTTAAGCAGAAAACACCAGCTAGCTGGCTGGTGTGCTGCTGCTGCATGAAGTTTGGCAGCAGCCCAGCGTGTTGGCTGTAGCAGTGCAGGGACAGTAGGGTTGCCAGGGGTAGGAGGGTGACACACGTGCCCTGTGTGCTGCCCATTTTTCCAGCCACCCCAATGCAATGCAGGGGTCAGGCAGGGCCTTTTGTGATTTGCACTTTCACTTGCCCTCCATGCTCCTTATGAGGAGAGTCACCCTGCAAGGGACAGCAGCTGCTGTGCTGCCATTTGGGAGCAATCTCATTAAGAATAATTAACGCTGCTACAGTGCTTCATCTGTCTAAACTGCCTAATTGCCGTGCAGCTGCTGAGGGTGTCAGCAAGACAGAAAAGCCCCAGTAGGTCACAACCAGTGTGCCCAGGGGTGTTGCCAGACCCACCTTTGTGCAGATGCCCCTGTTTTCAGAGACTGCCAGCAGCTGCTCAAGGAGCTTCCTGCTGAAATAAAGGAAACCCATGCCTCCTGCAAGGCCTCTTCCCTTAGGCTGCCAGTTGGATTTCTATGAGCTGTTGGAGGGGCTAGCAGGGTTTGCAAGGCTCATTGGTGTGTCTGTGAAGTAGCTAGCTAATAAGGACCCAGTCCAGGGCTGAGATAGGGAACCAGACTGAGCACAGACTGCTAAACTTGTGGGTAAGTCATGGTGTCAGAGGGCAGCACCAAAGAGCAGAGAGGCATAGGATCATCAAAGCTTTTCTCCTTTTTCATCTTGCTGATACATGCTTCTTTCTTACAACCATGACAGAGCGGGAGACACTGATGCCTTGTCTTCATTGTTCAGAGACTTTTAATCAATACTGAACCTATTGATAAAGGTTCCTGCCACAAGGCAACAAATCCAGAAACAATGGCAAAGAGACAGTATGGCAAGCACATATGCACTGCCTGCCGTCACAGCCTGGGCTTTGCAGTGTGGCAGTGCTCTGTCTCAGCCTACACACAAACACAAATGTGAGGACATGGGTTCCCCAGAGTGACAGCAGTGAAGAGGAGGAAAGCTGACTGAAGTGACAAAATCTCTCTAGAAACATGTCATCTTTGTGGAGAGCACAACACAAATTAGAAACTGTGAATTTTGTATGATACATTTATGCTAAAAATGCTATTTATGATGCATGATTTATAAAGTATTACAACAGTTGGGATGATGGTATGTCTAGCAAGAAAGCTGTTTAAGAAGCTGTTCAGAAGGAATGCGCTAATTAAGAAAGTATTAAAAGGAAGTATTCCCAAGAAGCCTACTGAAGAATGATTCTTGATACATTCATGCTTTTCATCCAAGAGACCAGGCAAAGAAGGTCAGAAGAGGGCTGTTAGGTCATCACAGTGACCTGAGCTAGACACAGTGGGTGATTCTGAAAAGCAGGAAGAAGAAGCATGTTGCCAAGTCAGTCTGGCAACTTCTCCCAGCCAGGTAGCACCTCTGAAAAATTTCCATACACAATCCAAGAGAAGTGAGTGGGATCTGTTTCCTGCCAAGTCGCAGAGGTCGTTTTGAAGACTGGAAGTATCAAAAGCTGGAATGTCCTCTATCCTTTCTGTTTAATGTCCTTCTGGCTAGGGGCACAAGGGGGAGAAGTAATCACAGCTTGTCAGAGTTTGCAGATCCCAACGGGGGCTAGAATTACCATGCAATGAGCCATGCTTCAGGGTAGAGTGGGTGTTCTGTTTTTGGGTACTGATGCTGCTGTACACTAGACAGAATCCCAAAACTGCCCTTCCAACATCTATCTTCTGTAAGGACTTAACATCTATCTTCTGACAGGACTTAACAGCAGTAAATAACTAAGTGTATACAGTGAGAGAAACTGGGGAAATAAAGATCAAAGCCTGCCCCACCCCCACCACAGTCTGCTGAAAGAAGCTCAAAATTGGCAGCTGACTGCAAAAAATGAAACAACATTGCAGGATTAATTTCCTTGCAATCCATCAGTGAACTGGTGTCAATGGCATTGATAAACTGTTAATTACGAAATCAATAGCTATGAATTTTTACAGCTATCAGAGCACTGAGGTGGCGGCAGGCTGCCTGACCATGTTCCTGAGGGTCAGCTGGCCTAGAAGCTGGGCTTCATACCTGAAGCCCTTCTCCAGCACTGCTTGGGGTACAGGGCATGTATGAGAATGGACAAGGTCCACTGCTTCCTCACCCAACTCTGTTCTTGCAGCTTCTGACTGGAATAGGAACCTCACAGGACCCATTAGTACAGAATTTGCCATGCATCCCTTTGCCAGGTCCAAACATTGCTCACTCCATCTTAGCATTAAAATGCACTGCAGAAAAAAAAGGGGGAAATAAATTTTGGGCATTCTGGGATGTCCTAAAATGAATGTGTGCTGTATGCTAACCTAGAGGACTCTTCAGTACATAGGTTGATCAATTTTTTTCCCTAAGGAAAGAGGACCTAGGAATGCTTAAAAATGGACTGCTGACTCCAAAGGGTAACAAATTAAACATACATCACCTCTACTCTGTCAAAAAATGGGTGATCATATTGTCTGGGACTTGCCTGCTCTGGGAATTAAGAATTCATCCCTCAGCTCTCTAGAACACACTTATTAAACAGGGATCCCTTGAATTATCTTTGCCAATCCCAGCAGGTGTGGTGTTGGTGCATGAGAGATCAGACTACTGTCACCTTCTTCTCTAGTAAAGAGTGAGTGAGCTCTCACTTCTATTTTCATTTGTTTGAATTCCTAGAACCAAAGGGTCAATATACACAGGGCTGTATAAGTCCCTTGAACTTGGGTTGTGTGAGCAATTACGCCCAGAATTTATCTTTGTGGGAGGGAAGGCAGAAAGCAGTTTTGGGCAGCACAGGGGCTAATCTTAAAGATGAATCTGGTGATCATCTTGAAGCCCTATCTCTGATCCAAGGGAGCTGAAGCCTGGCCCAAACCGCTTTCCTCCCATTTTAGGAATTGGCTGCTTGTATGCAAGCACACACATGCAGGCTCTGTAAGTTTATCCCTGTCAAAAATAAACTAAGAAAAATAACTGACATTAAAAGAATGTGAAGGTTCAATGTCAAGTTACAACAGAAAAATACTCCTGCCCTATTCCAGCTTCCTTACCTGTGTGTCACGAGAAGTTTTAATTACATGAAAACAAAATCCTATGTTTCACTTTCCTATGTTTCAATACAAATAACAAAGCAGGACTGCGGGGACTCTGGACTCCAGGACGGTTTGGATGAATGGAGACGAGAGATCTCTGAAGGCTGCTCTGAGAATATCAGGTTTATTATAGAGGGTGAAAGGTCCTGCTTGGAGCTGCCAGACACAGCACGTGGCAAGGCCTGAGGGAGTGGGGGAGGGGAGAGACAAGGGGTAGAGGGAGACAAGTGGATGCTCCAGGAGAGGGTGGAGGTTCCAAAAGAGCGTCTGGCTCCTCAGGGACCCCTTATCAGGGGGCTTCAAGGTGGGCTGGAACAAGGCTTGGGCCGATGTGGTCACAGACACTTGATGCTTCAGGGAAGGGTTACAGGTGTGGGGTGACCCATACATTTTGGGGATTGAGATGGAACAGTCCATTTGACTTTTGGACCTATCTGTAGGTAAGGGCATTGTTCAACCAGAAGGGGGGATTGTCTTCATCCTGGCTGTACTCTTGTTTTCTACTTGTGAAGTAACTAAGGTTTGGTATCTCAAAACTTGTTACCATTTCAATCTCTGTATTTCCTAAATCTTTTGCCAGGCAATCATATTTATAAGGCTTTCTTGTTTCATCTTCCCCAACACAGGGCTTTTGTGGATTATGCTTCTACATAGCTACATTTCTAGCTGCACTAGGAGAAACCAGTGAAGTCAGAGTGATTTTTTTCATTCAGTTGAGAACATGCTTTGGCCTGTGCCTCTTGACCCTTACCTTGGGTTCTTTACTCCACAGCACTGGAAATGGAACCAAAACATCTGATGAGTGTTGGTTGCTGTGCTCTTTGTTCAGTGTTACTCCACTCCTGTGGAGACTGTCTCATAAGGTTTACTCTGAGCTCAGTCCTGAAAGCACAGTGAGCAACAACAGCAGAGAGTGCTTCTGTTGCACTGTGAAGAACTTGACAGCAGTGTCCAGAGCACGGGCCAGGTGAATGTCCCAGTGTGGCACTTCTGTCACAACTGCTGCCTTAGCACTTCAGCCTCTCTGAGGAGCCCTTCCCCCTGTTTAGTCCTGTGACCCTCCTGGTAGACAGACTCTTTAGCAAGTTGATTATATCACCCACAGCCAGCATTGCACAGAGGAGAGAGGCTAGCCTTGGCCATCTGCCCATCCTGGTTCACTGGCAAAGTGAAGGCAGCAATTAAAACTAAAAAAAGCACTATATGAGAAATTGAAAAAGGGAACAAAGTTATGAAGTGCAGTAAAACCATAAGGAAAATGAAGGACATAGGAGGAAGAGCCATGTCTAGAAGAGCTAAGGACAGTAAAGAAGTTTTATAAATATTTAAGGAATAGAAGAAAAATTATATTTTGTAGTGGGGCTCTTTTCAACTAGAGATGATTAACCTATTAATAGCAATGCAGAGTAGGTAGAAGTCCTCCGTGGGTATTTCTGTCTTATTTGGAAAAGAGAAGCTTTATATACCTGTGTTATATGAAGTTGATGAAGACTTTGTAGTCTGTTATTTATGAAAGAAGATATTAGAACTATTAGGACAAACTTCACAGAAATCAGCAGAGCTGGGTAACTTGGCTTTAAGAGTTCTAAAATTGCTGGTTGAGGGTCATCCAGGGCAGATTAATGATTAGTAAGTAAGGTATTTTTAAGAAATTCAAGATGATTGTAAACATTCTAATGATGCAAATATTTTCCTAGGTTTTATCTGATAATTTCTATGCTAGCCTGGTGTGAACCAGGGCAAAAGAAAGGAAAAAATAAAGGTGACATGCAATTAAGACGGCATTTATAAGACATGTAAATGTGGCACTTAGGGACATAATTTTGTGTTGGACTTGGCAGTGCTGGGTTAACAGTTGGAAGTGGTGACCTTAGAAGTTTTTTCCATCATAAATGATTCTGTGATTTTACTGCCAGTCAGCATGATACTTGAGAAGAGAGGTCTTGTCAAACAAACTTGATTTCATTCTCTGATGAGATTACAAGTTTGGTTGATAAAGTTAACTGCACAGATGTAATAGACTTAGGTTTTTATAAAGTACTTGACTTAGGACCACAGGACATTCTCATTAAAAAATTAGCACTATGCAATATCAATAAAGAACACTTTCAATTGATTAGTAACTGGATAGATGACAGATCTCACAGTAGCTATCAGTGGTGAATCATCCCTGAAGGAGTTTTCTCATGGAAATCCACAGGGATCAGTACAAAAATCAGCTGCTACTCAACTTTTTTATCAATGAGCTGTAAGGAATTTTTTTCTTTTAAATTGCAACTGCTAAGGAGTGGATGGATGGCAGACAGGGACAGAATGGTGTGAAATGGTGAGGCAGTCTTACAGAATCCTGCACCATGTCCTTACACTTGAAGTAATATATAGCCAAAGAACACAACCATGGAAGAGGAAGTTTATCATGTCAAGCTGTCAGGTATAAAGAGACCCGGAGTCATAGGACCCAGCTCAACAAGATCATTCTTTTGAGGCTGAACTCAGGCATATAGACATTAAGATATGGTGTATTTTTTTTTTTTTTAAACTGAGAGAATGATTAATTATTAGTGTCAGCTGCCAAGCAAGATTAAGATTTCCCCCTCTTTTAACCCTTCCAGCTTCACACTGGGTGTTTTTCTGTAAAGTGGCTTTAGCCAAACACAGATACTAGTTTCAGGGCTGGGCTGCAAGGGTGAATTCTGTGACCTGCATGATGCAAATTTGGCAGAGATCTGATGTGAGACAATGAGACTCAGGGGATGTAGAGGGAGCCCTTGTTATGCAGTAGCTTTAGCGGTTTCCCTTTTAGATGGGACTCCTGAGCAAATCTGTGTCTGGCTGGCTTTGATACAATGCAGCCTTGCTGGATTGAGGGCTGCAAACTTCATCCACACTGTCTCCCAGTTAAAGGCAAATGCAGTGTCTCTGGTACCTCAGTATCTCCAGGACAGGGCCAGGCAGCCCCAACCCCACAGCTTTTTGAAACTGGGATGAGAGGTTCCCCGTTTGCTGTACCTCACCTACACCATGGAGTTGGATGCAAGCGTGGCTCCCTTTTCTTAGTTCATGGCACTGAAGTTAGCTTGCTAGTGGGAAAGGCCTCCACAGACCCTTTTACTGCCTGAAACCAGCAAATAGTCCATCCCCGTCTATCCCACTCCCTAGAGCACAGCTGGGGCTCTAGCAGCAATGTCTCATTTCTCCCTGCTTTCCAGCTCAGAGTGGAGCTTTGAGACTGTTGTATGACACAGGCAGAGATTCTTAGGCAGCAGGCTCTAGTCTCCTCCCAGGTAAAATAACAGCATGAGCCTTTACTGGCTGGGCCAGGGGTGTACCTGAGTTGGCAAGAGCCAGAGCCTTGAGTGTGACAAACTCCTCCTTTTCCACCTTGAGCTTCTTATAGCGGCGCACCAGTTGCAGGATGGCCAGGTAGAGTTCCAGCAGCCCTGTCAGACGAGAGTGCTCTTCATCCATTATGTAGTCCTCAGCATAGACCAGCTTGTCCTCGTATGGCAGAGAGCGGTACACAATGCCCAGGATGAGAATTTCCATCCAGGCACTCTGCAGAAGGCTCATCTGGTCTCCAAGGGACAGGTTGGAGAACCCTAACAGGGCAAAAGACAAGCAGGGTCAAGTGGGTGTGCAGCAAAGCCTCTAGGAAACTTGGGTCCTTAGTTTCCCTGAGATTCAAACCATGCATTCTTCCCTACTGACTTGCTGCTTCCAAAAAAAAAACCCAAACTCACTAAAGGGACCCAGTCTCAGTAGCAATCAGCACACATAGACCTTACCCTTCTCTTTTCTCTTATGCCCACCCACAGTCTCAAACAGGATTTCTGATGCTCTGATTGCATTTATGGGAGCCCAAGGTTGGTGATAACCTCTTTTCAATGACCACAGCTTCTTTCATAGCAGCAACTCTTTAGTACCACATTGCCTTCCCTCTCTTCCTCTGTAGGTCTGCATTGCAGCCCATTTAGTCTGTCCCAGCTGAAAAATGAGCAGAGAAGAGCTCCAGATGGCAGAAAAGAGGGCTTCTGATGGGATAGGAGGGAATGACACAGGTCTGAATTACAAGTATACTACAATCTCACATTTTGGCAGAGATGAGAAAAAAGTCTTGCCACAACAAAGCACCAAAATGTGTTCAAAAATTAATACATTAATACAGAATCCTCTTCTATTCCTCATCACATTCTGATCTCCATATCAACAGCTCTGCCTACAGCCCTACCCAGAGATAAAAATACCTTTGTGGCGACACTCAAGTACCTAAATCATAGCAAAGCCTGGTAGCAATGGAACAAGCCCCCACAGTGAGCCAAATATTCTTGCCAAATACAGAAAGAGCCTGACAGCCCTGACAGCCTGACTCTGACAGCCCCAGAGTCCACTTGAAAGAGTGCAGAGGACAAAAACCAGAGGCAAAGTCTACGTTAAGGTGGGGAAAAAAGTGCATGGGAAGGAAAACTGTCTGTTATGTCCTCCATACCTGGCACCCTTGAAGGCCAGACCATGAAAGATCCTGGGAAATGGGCACTCTAACAGTCATTACAAACAGGAATGTCAAGCACAGCGTGTTGGTCCTATCTAGGCAGATTTGCCCAACATGGACAGGCAGAAATTGCACTTTTTTTGGCAGCCTGTTGCTTCTAATGGTTCCTAAGGCTGTGAAAGAATGGGACATCCAGGCATGCCTCAGCTGGAAGGGTGATGCTCCACCAGCCTCCCCAGGCAGTTTTCTCCCCAGATGAATATGAAGCCTTGGGGATCACCAGGAGACCTGTGAAACATGAGCCTCTATGCAGAAGCCTCCCACCTCCACTGGCTGCATGCAAGGCTCAGCTGGACTTCTTTATCCCACACCCCAACCTGCTCACAGCTCTTGGCCTCACATCGGGGCTTATGTAGACAGCCACCATGATGCTCATTTGATTTCTCTTGTTATCAAGTTGGCAATTAACAAAAGAGCTGATGATTGCTATATTGACTGACTGTGGGATCTCTTTTTCTATCTGCACTATCTCAGCTGGGGAAGGGAAGGCAGAAGGGTGGGTTAGTGGTATTTATTTATCTCTACGCCATGTTTTGTGTTTGTGTTGCCAGGGGAAGCAAAGGGTGATAATGGCCTGGCAGCCCTTGGACATCCAATTTCCCTTATCAGGCCACTGAATAGAAAAGAGGCCCCAGGCCACATTAATTAACAGATACCAATCAGCTGTCACGTGCTGTGTGTGCAAGGTCTGAGGGGAGCAGTGGGTGGGAGGGAAGAATCAATAAACCATTGGGGAGGAGTGCCAGAGGGAACAGCTGAAGAGGAGTCCAGGCTACCGGGGAGAAGAGCTGCAAATCCAGCTCCGTGACTGTGAGGGTGATTCCTGTACAGCACAGCCCGTGCTCCACATAGCCCTGATGAATCCCACCTCTTGCTCGGGCTGGGAGGTGGGTGCCTTGTCCTTTAGCTCACCCTTCTGCCCCTTATGCCCTGCACTCAGCGCTGTGCTGCTCTGGAATGCAGCCCTCCTGACTCAGTCCAAGTGCAGGCTGCTGCAGCTCCAATATTTGGGATCCTGCCTCCACAGCTCTGCCTGCTGCACCGGGAACAGCAGGCAGAGAGTAGCCGTGAGATTAAAGGTGCGCAGCCACTGCTCCACTCTTTAGAATTTGAGATCTCTCCTTTGGTCATCCCTCTCCTAGCTCTGACCGTGGAGATAAGTCCAGCATTTAGGCTGCTGCCTTAAGTCCATTTTCTGGCTCAGTCGCATGGCCTTTCTGCATCTTCATTCTCCATCTGCATTACAAAAGGCATTAGGCCATTACCTCACCGCAGTCTGCCAACAACATTTCTTAAAAATTGAGAAACAGTTACGTAGTAGAGTGAGAGGATCCAGGACAGGCATGGCTCGTGCTTTTCTGCTACAGAATGAAGTAGAAAAATTGATTTAACTCTAGCAGTAGCCTGTACACACAGCATCTCTATTAATTGCCCTTAATTGCCCTTTCCCAGAGGCTGTTGTAGCAGGTGAGAACAGGAGATGCCATGTTTTACTCTTTGCCAAGAAGAACAGAAGGGCCAGCTGCAATTGCCCCACCCCGCTGGGAAAGCCCCTGGCCAGAAGCACTCCCAGGCTCCAGCTCCAGCAGTCCAGTGGGAAGAGGGAGCGCTATGGTGTCAAGCCTGGACTTGAAACGTCTGACAAATTGGGACCTTTTTCCTCCAGCGTTCACACATGTGGAGTGCAAAGTCTAAAGGACTGTCCCTGCAGTCCACTGCAGTAAAGGGGAAATCATATAACTGTCTTCATGCTGTAAGAGTTGAGATCAGGGAAAATAAATGTTAATTTCACCTGGCCAAAATCACAGGCTTGCTATTTATTATAGAATTACAACACTGGGGAACCTCTAGTTGTGAAATTTTCTGTAATTTTACAGCTCTCAAGAATTGCTAGGACACAACTGCTTTGCATTCTTTCATTGCCTGTTGATGGCCCAGCATCCAGAAAATGCCCTTAGTGATCTGTTTCTTGCTGCTTTTCTCAAGTCTGACCCTGAAAGGTGCCTAATCCACCATTGCTCCAAAAGAGAGCCCCTGGCTCCAGCACAGAGCTGCATGCATGTTTCCCTCCTTCCCAGGTGTGCCTTGAGAAAAGCTGCTTTATTTGCAACAGCTGATGTGATGTTCAGGCTGGGTTTTTTTAAATTTTATTTTTTTATTGTTATTATTTCAGTGGTTTGGCAGTGGGAGCTCCCAGAATAAAAAAAAAAAAAATCACATAATTTGTGGCAAGTGGAGTTCATAATCTGTTAATTTATTATCATTTCTGTCATCCTGGAGGGCTATTAGCAGAGGTAATAAAAGGAGATGTAATTATAGGATCTGAGGCCACTCCAGACACAGCTGCTGTCACTCCACTAGCCATATTTCATTCTGTGCTAGTACTAATGTCTTCCTGGTGAGAGCAGCACAACAGCTACTCTGGGAGAGCCTTCATCATCACCCCTCAAGAGAAGTCCTGTCACCCTGCATCAAAGCAAGAAGAAAAGGAGGATGTTGTTCCAAGACCATTTCCATGGGGGGAGAGTGAGTAGTGGGGAGGGGACCTCATACAGAAGGGAACAACCCCACATTGAGTAAGTGTGGCTTTTGAGCTCATGGCTAATATGGCTATTGAGCTAATAACATTTGCTAAACACGATTAAACATGTTTTATTGTTATCATAGGAAAGTGTGTTTAAGTTTTACTGATTTTACTGATTTTATTTGCTAATAAAACTTCTACTTTGGGGTAGAAGTTTGTTTTGACACCTGGGATCCTTCAGGGTTGGTATGACTTTAATGTCACATCATTCTTTACTAATTCCAGTGTGAATACAAGGCAGGAATATGTGACTTTTTTTCCTTTCTCCATCTTTCTCTGATGAAGAGTTTATGCACAAAGGAAGCAATGTCATGTTTTGCTCAAAATTCTTGGAAGTCAGCAGTACAGGGCATAGGTATTTTAGACACCTGGCAGACTCCTGGCCCTGCCCTGCTCTGCCCCCTTGCTGCATAACTCAGTATGTTTCATACTTGTTGCCGAACTACAGAGCTTTTGTTCCATTGTTATGAACTGTCTTTTATTATCTCTTTTTCTCGGTACTGCTCTCTTATGTAACAATTCCTGAGTTCTCGCCTGTGCACAGTTCTGTTGTAAAATACTCCTGCTGGTCTGAACTGTGCCAGGCTGATTACTGTGGCTGTTACTGTATTGTAGGGCCTTTGATAGGAGAGGAAAATACACAGAGAAATTTGAGATGATGGCAGGTAGGTCCTGATTTCACACAAGAGAGGAAGAGCCCCTTTCACAGTGCAGGAGAATCTCTACTAGACTCCTGTTCTGGGACAGTATTGCCAGGATGGAAAACTCTGTAGGAATTCCGCTCTTCCCACAGGCACAAGTTAGGAAACTACAGTAGGGCACTCTGGGTGAACAGAAATAGCCAAGGTTAGAGGGATGTACAACAGCAGGTCACTGGACAGCCACAGCAGCTAATTGCATTGCATTAAAACCATTCCTGTTAACACACCAGGTATTGGGTTAGTAGAGCAATCCAGGCTGAGTTCCCTAATCACCACTGTAACCCCGCTTGTGATGAATCAGCCCCAGATGGATTCCAGCACTAGTGATGAGTATAATCCCTGCAGATATGACAGATCTCATGTAAGAAGGGCATCACCAAGATTAACCTCTTCTCTGAAATACTGTCCTGAAAATGTTTCTTCAGACTTCAGAGTCCCATCTCATAACAATCCATATTCCATATAGCCCAGAAAACTATTAACTCTTGGGTGCCAGGAGGAACAGTCTACAGAAAAAAAAAAAAAAAAAAAAAAAAAAAAAAAAAAAAAAAAAAAAAAAAAAAAAAAAAAAAAAAAAAAAAAAAAAAAAAAAAAAAAAAAAAAGAAGCAAAGCAAAACAACACAGACCCATGCAGTGGAAGACATAGGCAGCATGAAGTAAATCCTGTGATCCTGTATCAGAGCCTCATATATTCTCCTGACAAAAGAAAGGGGAACATAAGGCAGGAGATAACTGAAGTGAGCTGTTTATAAACAGCTTTAGTGAGCTGTTCATAGTGAATTTCTGAAGCAATCTTTGGAAAGCAGCCTTGTAATTCCCAAGGATATCCTCTAAGTTCCCTGGCTAACTTTATCCACACAAAAATCCAATCTATCTGTTTCTGGTGGAGCTGGAGAGAGACTAGAGAGAGGGGAGCATTTTCCCTTCCCAGTCCAAATCTGAAAAGAACGTAGAACTCAACATTGAGGACCATATCTGCTCCTTCAGCCTCAGCCCACCCTACCTGGAGGTGTGGGACACTTGCTATGTCACTCAGTCACACAGACACACACTGCATATAGTCAGTGAGCCTTACAAGGCCAGTCACACTGCCAATAAGTGTCCTCATTATTTGTCAACAAAGAAGCGTTGAGATTTACTGGCAGTAGCACATCGTCCATTGCAATGGGATTTGTTCTGTGACAAATCCATTATGACAAGCTTTCCTGAGTTTGGACAAAATTCCTACTGCTGAGAAGGTGTGTATCTGCCTTATGAGCAATAAAGTCCAGTCACTGCCATAATATTTATTCAGCTATAAACACAACAGACCTAGGTCATGTTGATGTAGTGCAAAACTACCAAAGTCCACCATACCATTCCTAAGGCTGTTTCCCAAGTGCTTTCACTGGGCCACCCAGTGCTAGATACAGCAGAGAACTTCATTGTATCATATAAAAACCTTCTGTGTAATCCCAGGGCACACACATGTACAGTGATCAATTTATGCACCTCCATCTTAGGCTGCACTGGAGTTTGTTACCAATGAGTCTATCTCTAGCAGTATTTTGTAACAGTACTTTCCACCCATCACTACAGGAAAAGGTCCTTGCTGAGACCAAAATTTATAAGCACATAGACAAATGCTAGCTCCCTTTGTTGTTCATGCTTACACCCTTGTAATTCCCCATTTACCTGGGATGTGCTTTGCCCAGCCAATGATCACCACCAGTTCCCTGTCTGCCAGGTCACAGAGGGTTGTCAGAGCTTTGATGTCACTCTCCGGCATGGTTGGATCAGGCATGGCATAAATCTTCTCTGGCTCAGCCACCAGCAAGTGGGAGACGATCTTAGTCACTGCACATTTCAAAGGAGAAGTTGTTGTATCTCTTGTGACATTAAGGTGAACCCTCCTGGGATAAGACATGACTATAGAGCCCCTAACACCTCAGTAATGGTTTTGGTCACAACAGAAAACCATGCTGTAGCTACACAGGCTGTAGTGATCTGCCTATGACAAACCAGCTCTGCACTGGGATGACAAAAGCAGGAAGTTGCTGTAATGTTGTCAGTTCAGTCATTGTCAGGTAGGTCCACTGAGGGGAGAAGGAGATATAAGCAAAAAGTTGGTGGGATGTGGAAAAGTTTAAAGAGCTATGGGTCGTACTGAAGAGTGTAATCAGCATGGGACTGGTTTTGTTAACATGGCTTGGTTAAAGGGAAAGATCAGAATATCACTAAATGGATTTACATAATCTTCTAGGAAAGGTCTGGTATTTAACCTTAGCTACAATGAGTACCTGAGCTGTAGCTAGGCTTGTCTAATTACCTCTACACTACAATCATAAGAAAATATTCTAGTACTGTTACCAATAGGGGAATTGGAAGTGACAGTTGCTACGCTGTACTTTTGGGAGATCAGTGAAAAGAAATATAGTGGCAGCTCAGAGGACCACAATTCAAGACCAATACAATTCAAGACCAATACATACATGGCTTTTTAGCTGGGGGAGGGATCTGTAAGCTCAGGTAAGTGCTGCTCTCAGAATCCAGTCTCCTTTTGTATTTCTGACGGCCTCCACGGACTCGATCCAGACGAACACCTGCAGATAAAACAAAAAAGTCCTCATGATTCCTTAGTGCTTTACAGAACCTTGACATGCATATACTAGAATTTGCTAAGCAAGATGTTCCCCAATCTCCAGGGAGCTTCCCTCTCTCTTGAGGGAAGATCTCAGAGATTTCACTTGAGATCTCAGCTGAACCCATAAATCTCAATACCAGCTAGACTGCCTCCATCTCTAAGCATGCTGCTCTGAGCTTTACTTTTATCCAAAACATTAATGAACACAGAAATTAACCCATTCAGACTCTTAAATCACTATAAATCTGATGGGCAAATGAAAAGCTTCAGAACTCAATGCCCTCTACATGATCCTGCTTTTAAAAAGAAGGACTTTAAATGTCAGTCAAGCTAGAAGTTATAAAAATAAGCTTTTAGATTGTTCTTAAAAATGAGAAGTTAAATGTTCTATAACCTCTCACTGTTTATATTTGAAAAAAGTGACCTATAGTGTTATAAATGGGATCACACCCCTGGTGGTAAAATTGATTTCAGCATTTATTATAATAAAAAGAAAGGCAGGAGCAGGAGTGTTCCTGTTGAGGATGCTGCGGTGCCAGCACTGGGTTTTCCTGAGCAGCGATGTCCCCCAGGTTCCAGGTGGAGCAGCACATCTTCAGTGGGTAAGATGCCCCTTTTTAGCCTGTTTTTGATCCCTTTGGATTGTTTTGTTTTTGGATCCTTCATTTGCTTGAAGGTTTAAGGCGCTTGATTGGCCCATTATAGTTCTGTCCAGGCTGGCTCGTTTCGCCTGGGGGTGGTGCACTTTACTTGGGTGTAACATGGTACATAGAGTACCGTATTTCTTATAACTACCCTTTTAACCCCTTTTACCATAACCAAACCAACAGTACATGCTTAACAATTATCAACTATAGTTGATAAACTATAGTTTCTAACCTATTTTTAACATATAGCACAGAGATCATGAACTCTTAATTCAACAAAGATGTTTCAGCCTTGATCAAGTAAGGCAACTGTAATAAAAGTAGAATCCAAATAAATAGAAACAACCTTGACTATAATAAAGCAATGATAAAGATGAAGTAGGGAGACACTGAAGAATTTGTTGCAGCTCTTTCAAAGTACAGTAAAAAAATTCCCAATGACTGGGAAGTACTAGTGCTAGTCACTGTGCAAAAAACCATAGCATCATCAATAGACCAGCAACCAAGTTGTCATATTAGTACAAAATACGATGTTAAAAAGAAATTGTGAAAAAAAACCCCTACAGATATTTGTGCAGTTATGTTTTTTCTGAGCAGCCATATGGACTCTGATAATCATACTGAAATTGGGGTAACTCAGTCTTGCTGGGAGAAAGTTTTGGGGAAAAAAATTGTTTAAGGTAAATGTAGGAGTATTTGATTACAATAAAATTTTGAATTTACACTATACAAGTACTTTCTTAGAAACCCACAGGAGTTTGTCAAGTCTGATCATGGGAACCAGTTATGTGATAACTTACTTAATCACATTAAGTCATTAATATTTTGCAATCATACTGCTACATAAACCCAAACAACTAAAAGCAAACACTCCACATCAGTTTTGAAGTGACACTTTTTGAACAACTGGTACACCTGAAAAAATCTGCAGTTGGCTGGCAAATATTCTACCCTAAAAGGAGGCATGTCTGTCACACTGCATTTCAATGCTATGTTTGCTTATTCTGTCAGGGAAAAGATAAAGCTTTTACTATGATGCTCACACCAGCCCCACCTGCACCACCTGAAACTGCTACTTGCAACAACACCTAAATCCCGATACTCTTCATGGCTAGAGCACCAAAACCATTTGATTACCAATTGCCCCCTAAGCAACAAGGACACCAGGCCAACTACACTCAGTCTGGCAGCAGGATTTCCCACTGAGCAGGAGAAGCAGGAATGAGCAGAGCAAGGGAGCTGCTGCTGTGGGTGGCTGCTATGGGAGGCCAGCAGATGTTGGAGAAGATAAAGATATGAAGCTGATATAGGTGAACTCAGGTCACACTGAGGAATTTCTTTCCCCTGCCGCATTTTCTATTTCTTACTCTGTATGGAGAATTCATGGACATCCCTAAGTACCACCTTTCATGGTATACCATTCCATGGTATTGTTTCTGAAAATGATGCCTATTGCTTCTTTTACTTCCATTTTCAGTGGCAGGTAGCCTGTGGGCAAGACTCCTTCCTGGGAACCCAAACACATTTCAGAGAGCAATTTCAAAAAGGACAGCCAGGGAATCCCAAACCTTAGGATCTCTAGGGAGATCCCTAAGGAAAAGCAGTAATAAAATCCTGGATGAAGCAGGAAATTTTCAATTCTATCCATGAATTCTTTCCCTCTATAAACATGCCCTTGTTTCTTAAGAAATAAGACTCTATTCCATGCTGAATGAATGACAGCTACCTATAAGCTAGGAAAGAAGGGAGGGACATAAATTTCTGGAACTGCCAGTAAACCAAACAATCAGGTATGAAAAATAAAAGGATCAGGAATACACTGTTAGAAGATTATAGAGGAATTCAGAACAGGCTGCCAAGACGGAGGACTGAATCACATCTTCCCAGGACCCATTCAGATAAGGATCATAGCTGGGTGCCTTCCCTCACACCAGTGGTCCAGGGAGGGAAAGACGGAGATGTCATTCTCTGCTGGCAGAAACCAACACACAGCCCTCCAGGATGCTTTTGCTGTGCAGTTTGCTAAGCAGCGGGAGGGGAAACTAGGAGGAGTAGGGAGGAAATGGGGGAAGGAGTCTGTTTCCTCCTCCCAAGGAGAATGCCATCCTCCAGCGCTTGGCAGAGGGATGGCTGCACAGGTTGCAGCAGTATTAGGGACCCTCAATCAGATTATAAGGACACAAGGGACTTAAGTGCATTAAAAAAAGATAAGAAAGATGCAGAGAGATTTATCCTGCACCCCTCCTTCCCCCACTGAGCAGATAGAGGTCTGTTTGCCCAAGGACTTCAGCTTGTTAATTTTGAACAACTGTTTGTCCTCCTCTTGTTCCCCTTCCCTTGTGACACTCCTTGAGGCAAACGTTTTCAATCAGCACTTGCAGAGCCACAGTTCTACCCTGGCAGCGTGGCTCCAGCTGCAGAGCCGGTGAGCAGGCTGAGCCCCACACAGCACATGCCAGCTCCAGCTGCTGAGTGCCGTGACTCACAGGTGCTACAGTAAACAAAAGCGTTTCAACACTCCAGGTCCCTGACTGTGACACTCCAGGCGTAAACATCATAGTAAAATCCTTTTTCTAAATATCTGACAGCCTAATGGGTCATATCTAGATGGAAGGAAAGGGCATGGCCAAAAATCAGTACGTGTAGTATCTAGGTACTCAGGTTAATGCCTGCTGCTCTGCTTGATTTCCTCTGTGGTTGATTTTAAGACAGGCAGGTTGGTTACAGTGCAGATCTGAGAGGGACACTGAAGAACAGACATTAAAATGGAGTGAGGAGGTATGGTGGGTGAGCTCAGAGAAGCAGCATGAAGGAAAACATTAAGCAGAGAAGAAATGGAGGGGAATGTAAGCTGGTATATGAATGGAAGTGAAAGAATGTAAGGAAAAGGAAGACGAGAGATGGCTGGAGCATAGCTGAGGGGCACGTAGGCTGTAATCACAAGGGCAGGTTAAACACCACATGTGCACCCACCTGAGCATTAACTGCAAGGTGCAGCAGCCATGCATGAGATGCAGCTGTTCATGCTGAAGACTTACAAAAGATTTGGTACTGTGGCCTGACAACAAGAAAGCAGCAAAATAAAGCTCCTGTACAAACCCTGTGCTCACATGAATCACAGCTGGCCAGTTCAAAGGCGAGAAGGCACTGATCCTACAAAAATGTCACCACCACAGGCACTCCTGGAGCCCTGTTTGTGTCAGCAAGGAATTGAGATCCACAGTATAGCACAAAGTAAGGAAAGCACCACCCCTTGATAACTTATCTTGCTGGCAGTTCCTTTAAATTAAGACTGTCTATTCTGGAAACATGCCCTCTCCTCCCATTCCCCTGTATAGCAAGAAACTACTGCTGTTCATTCAATTTTATTACCTTTTGAGAAATCCTGCATAAAAGTCCTCCTCATCTGACCTAGCTATGGAGCTGACCCTGGTGTACTCCACAGGTATTGAGCTCCAGCTCCCCCACAGCTGGTTCTCAGCTCCCCAGCCTGCCCAAACCCCTCTGACCTTGCAGGGGGGAGGGCAGGGCCAGGACTTGTGCAGGACTTCTCAGCTCAGCATCCTGCCAGGGCAGGGATGTCACTTTTCTAAGCGTCCTGTGGGTGCCACTCGTGTTCCAAGCACTCTCGCAGAGAGGTCTGTGCCAGCACCAAGCCTCTGCAGTGGGAGAGCTGAACTGCTGATCGTTCAAGCTCCCTGCACTTCTCTGACATGCCCCTTGGAGAGACGTCTGCCCGACAACTTTGGGATCAGATGTCCCCTTACCGACTTGATAACATCAGGCCTTGGGGTTTTTTTCTTAATGGAAGTAAAATAATTCCATCTTTTTTTAAAAGCTGGACCCAGGCCGAGACTGTCGGAAGTAAAAATAGCCGAGTATGCAGAGGCGACAGCACACAGAGTCAGGTTTAGTTTCTCTTTTATTTTCTGGGGACTAAAAATACCTTTAAAAGCTCTGTGAAGCTAAGCCCCGGCCAGTGGGAAATGCAGTCAAGGCCCAGTATCAGCTGTCGTGTCAAATTACCAGCTTCACCTCACTTTCCATCGAGTCCTATCACATGCCCATGGATTGATAGGAACAGAAAGATCTATCTTGCCAAAAGAGCTAACAGAGGAGCCAGGCTACAGGGTTTGCATGGTACAATATGTGTCTAGACCAGGAAGGACACAACCAAAGGGAGCACAGGGGATGTGCTGGCCAGGAAGCAAAAGGGCTGCTTTTGCTGAGCTTTCCTGATACACTAGCCATGTCCTGTGTCCACTGCCCACCTAATCATTGAGCTGCAGCTTCCACACTGCTCTCCCAGGGT